TTTCTTTCTTTCTTTCTTTCTTTCTTTCTTTCTTTCTTTCTTTCTTTCTTTCTTTCTTTCTTTCTTTCTTTCTTTCCTTCCTTCCTTCCTTCCTTCTTTCTTTCTTTCTTTCTTTCTTTTTTTCTTTCTCTCTTTCTCTCTTTCTCTCTCTCTCTCTCTCAAAGATTTATTCATTCATTATGTATACTGTGTTCTGCCTGCATGTATCCCTGCAGACCAGAAGAGGGCACCAGATATCATTTCAGGTCGTTGCTGGGAATTGAACTCAGGACCTCTGGAAAAACAGCTAGTGCTCTTAACCTCTGAGGCATTTCTCCAGCCCTCAGCCTACCGTACCTACTACCACCTGCCCAGAGATGGAACCACCACAGTGGGCTGGGCCCTTCCACATCAACAATTCATCAAGAAAATACCCTTAAAAAAAAGAAAGAAAAAAGAAAAAAAATTCTCCTATATATTTGCTTACAGGCCACTACTATGGAGACATTTTCTCAAGATTCCTTCTTCCCAAGAGACCCTAGCCTGTGTCAAGTTGACATAAAAAGTAGCCAGCAAAGCCGCTATCTGCACTGTCAAGATCGGCTGGAGAAAGTCTCTCCGGGTACCTACGCTCACGGCATGGCAGCTCCAGTGCACAGCCAAGCGTGTTTTCTCTCATCCTCTCTCTCTTCTCTTCTGACTCCTACATTGTGGAATTTAAATTTTCAGATTTATAGAAGAATTGTGAAGGCATGTTCAATACACTTAAAACTACAAAGCTGAGAGACTGGAGAGATAGCTCCTACAGAGGACCTGGGTTCGATTCCCAGTATCCACATCAAATGACTCACAACACCCTGTGTCCCGGCTGGTTTTGTGTGGCAACTTGACACAAGCCAGAGTCACCAGAGAGCAAGGAACCTCAGCTGAGGAAATGCCTCCTTGAGATCCAGCTGTAAGGTATTTTCTCATTTAGTGATCAATGGATGAGGGCCCAGCCCATGGTGAGTGGTGCCATCCCTGGGCAGGTGGTCCTGGGTTCTATAAGAAGGTGGGTTAGGGGCTGGAGAGATGGCTCAGTGGTTAAGAGCACTGACTGCTCTTCCAGAGGACACGGGTTCAATTCCCAGCATCCATATGGCAGCTCACAACTGTCTGTAACTCCAAGATCTGACAACCTCACATAGACATACATACAGGCAAAAGCAGCAATTGGGGGGGGAGGGGAGTTGGGCTGAACAGGCCAAGGGAAGCAAGCTAGCAGCTCCCACAGGGCGGTGGTGACACAGCCTTTAATCCCAGCACTTGGGAGGCAGAACTCTGTGAGTTCAAGGTCAGCCTGATCTACAGAGCGAGTTCCAGGACATGCACCAAAACTACACAGAGAAACCCTGTCTAGAAAAAAAAAAAAAAAAAAAAAAAGCTAGCAGTTCCCCTCTATGGTCTCTGCAATCAGCTCTTCCCTCCTGGATCCTGCCCTGTTTGAGTTCCTGTCCTGACGTCCTTCAGTGGTGAACAGCAGTGCTGAAGTGTAAGCCTAGTAAACCCTTTCCTCCCCAAGTTACTAATAGTCACGGTGTTCCATCGAAGCAACAGAAACCCTAAGTCACCCTGTATCTTCCGTTCCAGGCGATCTGATGCCTTCTGGCCTCTGAAGGCACTTGCATGCATGTAATATAAAAAAACTCACTCAGGCATGCACACCTACATAACAAACAACAAAAATCCCACTGCAAAGCAGGGCTGAGTGTGGTAGAAACTGAAGACCAGGAAACTGAGACAAGAGGATCTGAGTTCAAGGCCATTTTTTTTTTTTTTTGCCAGTCTGGGTTTAAAACCAAACCAAACCAAAACAAACAAACAAAAACTGAATCAGGTTCAGGTGTTATGGGACACACTTTTTTTTTTTTTTTAAATGTTTGAGACAAGGCCAGGGGGTGCAGCTCTGACTGGCCGGGAGCTAACTATGTAGACTAGGCTGGTCTAGAACTTGGGAGTTTTGTGTGATAGTTCACCACAGAGAAGACAGACAAGGAAGCATGGGCAAGAAACACACAGGAGCATAAGAAGCTTTGACTTCTGAGCTAGAAATGTCTGTTACACAGATCATGTCCTGTGGTGGTATTGTGTTCCCCAAAATATTGTGCACCCTAATAAACTTATCTGGGGCTAGAGAACAGAACAGCCACTAGATACAGAGGCTAGAAAATGGTGGCACTCACACCTTTAATCCTAGCCTTTTGGAGGCATGGATCTCTATGAGTTCAAGGTCACACTGGAAATAGCCAGGCATGGTGACTCACGCCTTTAATCCCAGAAAGGTGAGCCTTTAATCCCAGGCAGTGATGGCAGAAAGCAGAAAGGTATATAAGGCATGAGGACCAGAAACTAGAAGCTTTTAGCCTGGTTAAGCTTTTAGGCTTTCGAGAAGCAGTTCAGCTGAGATCCATTTGGATGAGGACTCAGAAGCTTCCAGTCTGAGGAAAGAGGATCAGCTGAGGAATTGGTGAGGTGAGGTGAGGTAGATCTGCTTCTCTGATCTTCCAGCATTCACCCCAATGCCTGGCTCAGGTTTATTTTCATTAATAAGACCTTTTAGAGATTCATGCTACAATGTCCCTCTGTTCTTACTGTACTAAGGGTTAGCGCAGGCTTAGACACAGAATGTGTTTTTCTCAGAGGAGGCTGTTGGCAACCATAGTGCCCACACCTAATCCCAGCCCTTAGGAGGTCGAGGCAGGAGGATGAGAAGTTTGAGAACAGCTTGGTTACACAAGATCTGGTTACAAAGCAACAACAAACCACTGACTTGCTAGAAGCTGGGCACGGTGGTACATTCCCAGCATCCCAGCCCCTGCAGGATCCCAAGTCCAAAGCAAATCGCAAACAGGTAACTGGACGTTGGCATGTCTGTTGGTGCTGTTCTTGTTCAGCTGCTGGGAGAATTGATGGGTGTAGCTTCTGACTGTTGCCCTTACCTCCCATCAACTTTGCAACAGAAGAGTCTGCCGGGCATGGTGGCACACGCCTTTAATCCCAGCAGGCATGGATCTCGGTGAGTTCAAGGCCAGCCTGGGCTACGGAGAAAAAGAAATGGCTATACAATCAAAGCTGCCTTGACATGCTGATTCTAGTCAAACACAGGACTTAGCTATTCAAGCTTGATATTCTCCGGCAATTTCATCTCCTCAGGACTTTATTTACTTTTGATGGTGTTGGCAACTGAACTTTGGGGCTAATGCTGCTTCACACTGGCTTGTTCTGTAATTCTTTCCCATGTCAAAGCCAAACACCATCTGGAGTCCTGGGCCTAAACCATTAAGGGGGGGCACCTCAGGCCACTAGGCTACTATGGATGACACCACAGACTTGTGCCTTCATCCTCGCCACAAATGGATATTTTACTTATTATATGCCAAAAAGGAAAAACTTACTTAGCTTTCACTATTGTTACTGAATCTTTATTAATTATATCAGAATGTAAGCAAGCATCTCTGTAAGGTAGCACGCAGGCTTTTCCCCCTTCTCTATCAGAATACTTGCATAAATGTTGAGGATCTGTGTTCCAGATTTAACTCAAACCCCTTAGCATCCAAAGCTTTTCCCTATGTTGAAAATCCAGCCAAGCACAGACACACAACCCTCACAGAAGGGAATTTCATAACCTGCGATTATCACTCTCCGCCGTGACAGCTCTTAACTACTCTGTTTAGCACCTCTCGTTTCTACATTTACATGTGGAGATCAGAGAACAACTCACAGGAGTTTGTTCTGCCCTTCCACCTCGTGGGCTCCAGGGATCGAACTGAGATCGTCAAGTTTGTCCGCTGGTGCCTTTATCTGCCGAGACACCTCTCAGTTCCTAGTCTCGGTTTTTTAAACGCCCCACCACGTTGAGCAGTTTTTCTTTCAACTTTTGCGTGTTTCATAACTCTCGAGTTGTCCGAGTGCCTACGTTTTGCCAAGATCAATGCTATGCTCATGGCCACTGACACCACTAGAACAGAAGGGCCTGCAGCGGACTGGAGCTTCATAGCCCCAAGAAAAACAACAAGGGAAAAGTAGAAAAAGGCAGTTATGCAAACGACCTTTGGAAAGAACCCTTTCCTTTGTCATAAAAGGTAACTGAACCGTGAAGTGGGCTGGAGTCGCGGGGAAATTTCTTCTCGGCTACAGGCTGGGACTCCACGTGAGCAAACTGAATTCGGAGAAAATCGGTTTCTCTTTTCTTTTCTTTTTTTTTTTTTTGACTTAAATGTCGTCCAAGCGGCTCGCTTGCCCCCAATAAAGATGGATTCTCCCAGCGCCGATCTCGCTTTTGAATCAAACATGGTAGACATTTTTCTTAAGGGCAAAGGAGCAAGCCGGAAAAGCGGCCGGCGCGCTCGTCTCGGAAGCCCCCCGGCGCTTTAAATTGCTGAGAGTCCAATCGGAATCCAGATTCCTCACCGGAACCGTCCTACCTCACGGCCGGAAAGGGCCGTGCGTCAGCGCGTTGGGGCGGAAGTGGCGGGAGGGCGGTGGTGGGTAGTTGGCGGGTGGTGGACGAGAGCCGGCCGCCATGTCCGCAGGGAGCGCGACACATCCTGCAGCTGGCGGGTAAGGGCTTCGCGGGCCGGGCGGGGGGTAGCGAGCGCGGGCCGGGGGAGAGGGCGGCCCGGGGAGGCTGCGTGTGGGCGGCCAGGCCGCTAAGGGGGACGCGTCCGGACGCCGAGGCCGGCTTCCGGAGAGAATGTTGAGCAGGCCTCGGGCGCCTGGCGAGAGGCCGGCCGAAGGGCGAGGGCGACGGCGCGCCGAGGGTTTGAGAAGGGCGAGCCAAGGAGAAGGCGGACGCAGGAGCACGCCGGGCCGGCTCGAGTCTGGGACTGGGAGTGGTGACGGGAGCAGATCTGCTTTGGAAAGCGGCTGGAAGAAGCGGGACTTTGCGGCGGGGTGGGGTGGTGGTGGGGATGTCACTGAGTTTGCGATCGGGGGCATCCTGTGATGAGGACGGAACCCGACGGGCCAAACGGAGTAACGCGTGCTAGGAGCACCACACAAAGGCAGCCTGGGGGCCCCAGCATGTTCCTTCTCCTACCTGTAGGCGCCGCAGCAAATGGGACCAGCCGGCTCCAGCCCCGCTGCTCTTCCTTCCGCCAGCGGCCCCAGGTGGGGAAGTCACCAGCAGCGGGGGCAGCCCGGGGGGCGCCCCCGCCGCTGCTCCCTCGGGAGCCTTGGACGCCGCGGCTGCAGTGGCCGCCAAGATCAATGCTATGCTCATGGCCAAAGGGAAGCTGAAACCGTCTCAGAACGCCACCGAGAAGGTAGGTATTCCCAGGGAAAGACGCGCAGCTGTGTGCAGCTTTGTCGCTTTTCGGTTTCATAATCATTCGGGCTCCCAGGGTGAAGATCGCGTGTGGGAGCGTGGGCCCTTGTTCAGTTGTTTTTGTGAGGGCGAGGGTTTTCGTTTTTGTTTTTTTGTTGTTGTTTGAGACAGGGTTTCTGTATACGTAGACAAGGCTGGTCTCCTGCTTGCAGAAATCTTCCTGCCTCTGTCTCTCAAGGGCTGGCGATGACAGGTGTGCTCACACCCTGAGGCCAGGCAGTTTTAATTGATCCTGTTACTTTTATGAACTAGTTTTTGTGCTTATAAAACGTGACTCAATTTTTGTAGTGATTTAAAGCAATAGATTCCCGATACTTGAAGTTCAGGTAAATCATGTGAATGTGTTTAAAAATATTTATGTGTATGTGTATCTTGGTGGATCCTAGCATTTGGGTGTCGATGTGAGGCGTCTCAGTCGTCCCGTCAGGCTTGGCAGTAACCACCTAAACCCTCTGAGCATCTTCCTAACCCTCAGGTGTATGTGTGTTGTGTATGGCATGCACAGGTGTTTGTCAGGAGCACACGCAGGTACTCATTGCCATGGTGGACATCGGAGGTCAGAGATCCCACCTGGTTTGAGTCGGGGTCTCTGTAGTGTGTGTTTCAGGCTAACTGGCATTTGAGCTCCAGGGACTCTGCTGTTTCTGTCCCTGTCTGGCTCTAGGGGCATGGAGATGACAAATGCAAGCTGCCCCGCATTTGGCTTGGTTCATGTATTCTGGGAATTAAAACTCATGCTTGGCCATCATGAGTGGCCATCTCTCAAGAGCTAAAATAATTTTTAAAAATGTTATTTCTGTAGCCTGGTGTTTGTGGCGCACGTCTTTAATCCCAGCACCCCAGCACTCGGGAGGCAGAGGCAAGGAAATCTCGAGGCCAGCTGATTTACAGTGAAGCTTTGCCATAAAGTGCAAAATATAAAGCATCATAACTCTGACCTTTAATCTACCTTCTGGTCTGTAGTTTCTTTAATACCATAAAAAATATATGAGGTACCAGTTGTGGTGGCACATGCTGGTAGTATTTGCTGAAGGAGGTTGAGGCAGGAGGATCGCCAGTTCAAGGGCAACGTTTTTATACGGGCTGTGGTGTTGGAGGCACACATCTTTAATCTCAGCGCTCAGGAGATCGGCAGGTAGATCTCTGAGTTGAAGATAAAAATCAACAAAACCAAAAACCCCTTGATTGGCTTTTTTCTCTTCTGTAGCTGCAGGCCCCTGGCAAAGGCCTAAGTAGCAGTAAAAGCAAAGATGACCTGGTGGTGGCTGAAGTGGAGATCAACGACGTGCCTCTGACCTGTAGGAACTTGCTGACCCGAGGACAGACTCAGGATGAGGTGTGTGTGTGACTTAGGAAATGGGGGAGGGGGCCGGGGACTTCAGACACTTGTGAACACAGTGTTCATGGGTGGTTTGGGTCATACCGTCAGGATTGGGGTTAACTGCAGAGGATACTAATGAAACAGATGTGGGTGACTTCCCCGGGTCAGAATTTCAGATACAGGACAGTTTGTATCTGGTGAAATAAATGGAAGGAGTAGTCCTGCTCTCTTCGGGGAGAAATACCTTAAAACCACATCAGAGTTTTACTTTTAATTCACAGTTATGTGTATTTGTAGTGTTTTAGTACTTGTCTGTCATTTTTAATAGAATGTTTCTACTTTTAGATCAGTCGGCTGAGTGGGGCTGCTGTGTCGACTCGAGGAAGGTTCATGACGACTGAGGAGAAGGCCAAAGTGGGACCTGGGTGTGTGTCCTGTGGTTTGGGGAAAACAAGATGTCACGTCCTGTTCTCTCTTCTCAGGGAATCCATGTTGAAGGTGTTTAGGTAGTAGCTGGAGGAGGAATGCTGTTGGATTTCCTTTCACAATTTTTTTTTTTTTTTTTTTTTTTTTTTTTTTTTTGTCAGGGTTTCTCTGTGTAATAATCCTGACTGTCCTGGAACTCACTCTGTAGCCCAGGCTGGCCTCGAACTCACAGAGATCCGCTTGCCTCTGCCTCCCGACTGGGATTAAAGG